TCTTTAGTTTTGCATATTGTTGTGTACGATGGAATTGAGGTGTTCTGGTGGCTGTCAACACAACTAATTAATAATACTAATATTAGCAAAATGTTAATATTTAGTGTTATTATGTACTATCCACTAAATGTTTCAGTCATAACAAATCATCATTATGTGGTAATTCATGAATATATCGGATAAGTCTTCATTGAATTGTCAAGTTAAAATGGATCAATTTTTTACAATTAAACTGTGTCGTTAATAAAATAATAAATTTGGAATTGATCATGAATAGTTGGGGTTTTATTATGTGTTCTGAATAGGTATATAGTATATGTACCCTATAATGTAGGTAATTTTTCTAAGTTGGTGGTTGAGCGGGAAGTATCTGAGACACCTAATTATATTTTTATTATGTTGTTGTATTCATCTACTAAAGTGGGAGATGTGTGTGAGCATGCATGCATATGTGCGATTTTTGTAGATTATCAGCCAAGGAAGGCTCGTGTGTTGTAAGTGTAGAAGTGGTGTGTAAATCTGCTGTGATGTGGAGTTTGTGTAACTTGGATATATATCCAAGATGTAGTTGTTATGACAGTTCATTGTGATGGAGCAAAGAGCGAACATTAAGTTTTGTTTCAAGACAAGCAAGACAGCTACTGAAACTTTCCAGCTGACAAAACAGGCTTATGGTGACAATGCTGTCACTTGTACGTGGGTTTTTTAATGATATGCAAGATTTTGGGATGGTCATGCAGATGTCGAAGATGAAGAGTGCAATGAATGGGCAACAGCCATTCAAACACCCAACATAATTGAAACAGTTCCAATATTAATTCCAGCTGATTGTCGAATGACTCTTCAGATGGTTGAATAGGAACTAAAAATTAGTGGAGAAACAATTCTAAGAATCTTAATGAAAGATCTGCACTGCTTAATGATGAACAGAAGTCTGACAGACTGCAAACTTGTCAAGAATTTATTCAATCTATGGATGATAATTGTTCCTTGCTTGACTCACTTGTAATGGGTTGTGAGACCTGGTGTTTCCAGTATGATCCACAAACAAAAAATAAAGCATGGGATGGCACTTGTCAAACTCTCCAAGGCACAAAAATTTATGCAGTCCTGGAACTTAATTTTCTGATTATATAACAGTAGTTGTTTTGATTGGCTTTTTACTCCCACTTCTGACTTGCCAGTTGGAGTTCTAAATATCTGACACTTTCAAGATAATTGATTACTTACTCACAAAGAAGTGGATGTACAAATTTGCGGCAAGAATACTCAATGTTCTTTGTAGTGTTTATAGTGAGATGGCTGTTATATTGAACTCTCTCTCCAGCAGTCCATATTACCATTACATTAATGAACTACATTATGTGATATAATAATGTAAATGCAGAATGCATGCATGATATACATTTATACGTGGGGATAAAGCTGCAATTGTGGAAAGCAAATGGAAAAACTACCACATTATCACTATTCCTGGATAGTCTCTTTCCAAAAACAGAAGATCGCATTAAGTGGAGAAACTGTTTTGGAAGAGGCTGTGGACCTGATGAATGAATGAAAGCTGCAATGTTTTTAGCTAGTGAATTTTTCCATTAAGTTATTAATTTGTCTTGCTTTCTTTCCCCCCCTGCAGTGAACACAGGAAAAAGGGCAAAGAACACCTTGTTCCTGCATTGAAAAAGAAGCAGTTGTCATTATTACATAACCTTGAACAAGCTAGGCAAGAGAGTAGAAGGTGTGTATAAGAGTACATTTACATTTTCATATTTAAGCTTAAGATTAAAAATATGATAAGTCATTCCAGAAGTAAATTATGAAACCGGTACTGATAGTAATGGTGATGGCAGCAGTAGTAATGTCCTTGTTGTTATTTTACAACATTGTCAGTACTGAAATTTATATATCGTCAGATGATGGGTGAGTGCTGATTTGAAAAGGATTTGGAAGGAAGTGGTCATGGCCTAATTTTTAGTATTATCCAAGCATTTGTCTGGAGGGACTGAGGAAAACCATAAACAATCTGATTCATGAGAGCCAGTGTCCCAGCCGAGATTTCAACCTAGCACCTCCCGAATAGAAGTCTAGAGCATGTCTGTATTGGTTTGTGACTGGCTCACAACTATCGTAACTTTCCTCCCCCATCCTTGCTACATAGCCTCAGCATAAATCACATATAAAACTCCATTTCTAACAGTTCCCTTGTTGTTTCATGATGTTTAGTGGTATGTTGCCTAGTGATGGCCTGCATGTTTGGTGATGTGGTAGCATTAACTGGCCTTTGACTGGCAACAGCCACCTCTTCTGACTTTGCTATTCCAGCTTTGGGCCATTGTATCACAACATTCCTAAGCATGTGCTGAAGTTCTTTGTTCTTTTGCATTATGATCCAGGACAGCTCAGTATGTAAAGTGACTAGCTTGGTTTTGATTCTTACACATTTGGAATTTCCCCCTTTACTGTCTTATCCAGAATTGCTGTTAGCCCCATCCAGCCTCCTGTTTGGTATCAGCAGTTCTTTACCAAGTGGTAAAGGTGACTGTAACATGAAGTTGGCAATTTTTCACCATTTGATACAACACCTCTGCCTTCTGTTATGGTGTTTTATTTTCTCCTTTACCTTTCAGATTCTGAAATTCTAAAGATAAACATGGGTTTTTATCTTAAAATATGACATTCTCTTGTTTAAGTAATCCATATGAAACAGACATTTTCAGGAGGTGCGCAGTTTGAATCTTGTGTAGGACACTGGCATTTTTATGGTTTTCTTTAGTTTTTCCAGGCAAATATAGTAAACCATAGCAGGGGAAAACACTAGAAAAGCAAAACACTGAAAATTTTTGAAGTGGTAATCTTAATTTTGAATAAAATTTAATAGAACATATATTTGAACGTTATGAATCCCAGTCAATTTGTCACACTCAATTCTTTTAGCATGACACATTGTCTTTCTGCTGCTGGATGAACCAGTCAGCATCAATGTTATAATTACCACTAAGAGTGTAGTAGGACACACATGAAAAAAGTAATGTAACCTACATTGTAATGATCATGCAATCTGGGTCATGTTGCTATATACTCTGATAGAAAGGTACATCACATTCCAGAAGACCATTATCATAAGATTCGCATCACACATCTGACCTATGATATATCACCACAGTGCCTTTCATTAAATAACACTAATTTTATTCCCATTTCATACATTTTCATATCTGTCATGTTTATGTTGCTAATAAGGAATTAGAAAATATGAACATTGTGTGACCTGTGGCAGGTAGACATTTATACTAAGATTCATACAAATCAGTCATTTGCTTAAAAAATTGCTATAGGCATACTGATATATAGGCATAGACACGATTAGCCTGTATTCTATTTCTTGTTTTTGTAAGTTAAGGAATTGAATTTTGAATATAATTACCAGAAATATGTTATTATCTTATTTTTTAATATATTTTATTATTTTTGTGTTAGCGAGTATGACAAGCTGCTGAAAGCAACAGTCAGAAGAAAATTGGCCCTTAGACAGCAGAAGACTTTAATAAAATCCTACCTGAAATCTGTCCAGCTAAGAGGAAGAAACTTTCAAGAGGTAAACGAACTTTAAATTTATCTTCATAATACATCCATATGTAGGACTGCAACATACAAAAACTGACTGCTTTTGTGGCTGAGTGGAGTGTTATGTATTTAAACTGGATAGCTAATCTAACCAAATGTTTTCAGGACCATGGAAGTACTAGTGAATTGAATGGTGAGAATCATAAAATGTCAAGGTAAGAAAATTCATGTTCATTTCAGTTAATGCTTGACTTCTACAGCATCTGTAAGCTGCAGTGTATTTTATGTTTCATTTCAGTGCCAGTGCTATAAGAGACGTGTCAATGCCATCACTTGAGGAAGAGGTGTTAGAAATGGTTCCTAAATCAGAATCTTTGGAATTTTCTGTGGCAACACTGCCATACATAGCAGCTGCAGTGGATCATGTGATTTCTTCTGATGACACTAATATAATAGCCACTGATACATCACCAAAACAAGTATACTCAGAAAACTCTGAAGAGAAATTTAATGCCTTTGAGAAAGCAACAGACTCTCTTCCACAGACAGGTATGCATAGCATAGAAATAATGGATGGCAGTATGGTTTTAATTAGAGGCTGCACTTTGCATACTCACGGTATAATCATAACATCCATTACTGGGAAAACACAAAATACATGTTTGAAAATGCACTTATAAATGAGCATTTTTCATTAATATGACAATAGCTGATGAAGGGAGACTACTGTTGGCAGATCCGCCTCTCAGGAGAATTAACACTGCCTGCAACCAGTGCATTCGTACTTTTAATTCCACACAATTATGATTAAGAAAGGAAAGTAAGGGAAGGTAATTTGTTAATGAATTGCAACATTTGTCCTGTCTTGAAGTTCACATTACGTGCTTGGCTGAAGTTGACTGACGTATTAATTTTATTGTGACTGATGGTCGCACATTGTGGTGGTAGGTTCTTGTTAATTACGTGGTAGAGTCATTAAGTTCGTGGAATGTGGTTTTATTGCATCATATTACAAGGTATTCACATACACTTACGCAGATCTACAGCAGCACTCAAAATAGTTGCCATTGGCCGCTATGCAAGTCTGCCAACATTGATATAGCTTTGCAGCCATTCCATGAACTTATTGACTGTGGTAGTATAACCTCATTGTCATTTATACCGATGCATCATTTAGCCCAGAAACCAAGTAACAATGATGTGGTGCAGTACAGACGTGAAATCACCCCATGTAATGGACCCTTCTAACTTTCATTTTCACATTCAAGTCAGTGTTACCCTGGTTGCAGGGCTGTTGCTGTTATGAATCGTACAGATGGTCTGCAGGTGTGAGCAAGGTATATTTATGAGCATGTATATGTTCTCAGACATTTATTATACATTGTAATCATTCACTGCTCTTTGCTAGGCATTTAGCAGTGCATTCCCTGGCAAAGAAATGTCAAATAAAACAATAATATGCTGACTGGTAACAGAATTTCTGGGTGCAGGAAGTGTTTACAACAGACAGCATGTCCAGCTGCAAGCAATTATGACAAGTGATACACTGCTCAGCATTGAAGAAGCACTAGCCCAATTGATGTCACTTGTAACATATAAGCTTACAGTTTGGATTACACTTTGAATGGTACACCCTGTAGCTTGTAATATGTTCTCACATCATAGTTTTGTGAATGGTTTAACTGTTGTCTTCTTCGGATGTGCCATAAGCTAAAAACTGACACCAAAGTTAGAGTAGATTGGTAGAAATCTGTAGTTAAGTTCTAAAACTATCATCTGAGGGAAAATTAAATTTATTGGGACAGTCTTATTTCAAGGAGTTAGATTGTATGAAAAGTGAGATGTCTGGCCATGGATTGGAAGCCAGAGTTCAGTCTACCTCTGTCTTTGATTTCATGGAAATAATATAAGGAATGGATAACTGTGTCATTGCCACCAGCAATTAAGATAATATCTGTTACAGTTAATAGATACTAATAATTGTTTTTAAATAGGATAGAATGGAATTAGTGTCTGCTTTCCATAGCAGAGTCCTGGGAGCCAAAACATTTACAACACTAATATAAAAGAGTTATACAATAAAGGAGAACACCATTCTAAGATCATAACAAGATTATAAATACTGTATTTACGCATGTATACGCCACAGCACAATTTTCAGACAAATTATAGAAAAAATAATTTTCTTGGAATATTATTTCAGGAGTATTACACCCTGTATTATTAATTATGAATATAATTTTTTTTAAATGAAGTGTGATTTCGAATATAAGCCTCACCCCAGTTTTCCTCTTGAATTTTTGGCAAAAAATGTGCGGCCTATACATGCGTAAATACGGTATTATGTTTTTGGACATTATCCATCATCTTGTCTTTATCTAAAAACCGTCCTGTTTATTTTTCAAAATACAGTGTTTCAAAGATTGGATTCTGTCTCCATCTTCAGATAAAACCTACGCAGTTGAATCCAATTGATACAGCTAGTCCCTATCTCCAGACACCTATGCCAGCTCCAAGATGGGGTACATAAGCCAAACACAGCACAAATCCTGGAGCTGGCATAGGTGTCCAGAGACAGGGACTAGCTCTATTGATTTGGCCCAATTGAGTAGATTTTACCTGAAGATGGGGACAGAATCCAGCTTCTGAAACATTGTGCTTTGAAAATTAAACAGGACAGTTTTTAGATAATGACAAGACGATGGATAATGTCCAAAAACATAATATTTATACTAATGTGCCATCATCACAAACTTTTAGATCTTATTTATNTGGCATAGGTGTCCAGAGACAGGGACTAGCTCTATTGATTTGGCCCAATTGAGTAGATTTTACCTGAAGATGGGGACAGAATCCAGCTTCTGAAACATTGTGCTTTGAAAATTAAACAGGCCTGTTTTTAAATAATGACAAGATGATGGATAGTGCCACCATCACAAACTTTTAGATCTTATTTATCATAACAAGATGTTTAGATAAATTAAATTATCTGTAATATGAAGAATGTATTCTGAAAATGGCTATACATTGCATGAACCCGATTTAATGTAAACTAAATGGCAAAGTGTGGCAAAAATGTTAGCAGTAACAGAACTGCACAGTAGGGAAACCTTGCTTTAGTGAGCAAGTTCATTGTAATTAAATAAGCTGTTCATGAATTTGTAGCAACAGCTGTGATAATATAGACAAAAAATTTAAATAGCTCTCATGCCTACAGTGATGCACCAGCCATGTAATAATGGCAGGTAAAGTTGAAAAATAAACTGCAATTGTAAATTATTACCCTTAAAATATAAATGCATAAAATAATAATAACCACAGTAGTTTTATTTATTTAGAAGCTGGGACTGAACTAAGTGATTTAGAGAACCGGGTTAGAAGTCTTCGTGAACAACTTCATAAGAAGAAGACTGAGGCAGAAAAACTTTGGAAGGAGCAGCAGAAGAAAAAGAAGGAACAACTGAGAATGAAGGAGCAGTCACTCTTGAAGCAGATTAAAGTAAGTAGTAATTTACTGAGTGACATCGATTACAAGATATGAACTTGCTGAACTGCAAAATGGTAGAGAATGTTTCTGGCAGTAGTCCTTCCAGTCATAAGTGTGTTTGCAGCCCTACACAGCATGTGTTAAAATTCATCCATCTGTCTTTTTGCATGAATCAGCTCAAGAACTACTGAACATATTTTCATATGAATAGAATCTTAAATTTGTATGGCAATGAAGTGCAGTGAAGTGCTTTTTCAGGTGATGAGACACATGGATACAAAGTAAAAATCGTATGTTTCCAATGAAGACTTTATATCAGCCATCAGTGAGTAATGTGATGAGTACAGGTAGATTAAATGAGACATCAGATATTTACACCATATTTACTCAACTGATTGCTAAAATGTCTTCATTGGAAGAGGCAAATTAATTTCTCAAATTTTGAAGATACTACATGTGTATTAGAATGTATAATTGAAAGAGAGTTTCACACAAACCTGCATGGTTATTAGTTGTTCACAAAGGCCACATATGGATTGATGCACATTCATTATGCTCAGTTTGAGTTATATCAAATTTTGAAAGTAGCTACTCATACAGGAAGTATTAAAATTATATAATATATACATACTGTTTAAAATTTGTGTCTTTTCTTTGAAATATTTTTCAATTTGATGTACATTTAATTAAATATAAGAAGTTATTCATTTAAAGACTTACACAGAGTAGGAGTCTTGATGGATTAGTCTGAACCCAGATTACATTTAGACTTCTCATACCAAAATTTGGAGATGAAATACATGACAGATCTGACCTCTTATGGTGTTCCTTGTTTGGTCAGCGCATATTAGAATGTCTAAAATGTCTGCCATTTTAATGCAGAAATGGCATTTATATGTGACAGTGTGGTGTGACACATATTCTATCAATTTTCACTTTAACTTTTAACATGTTCATTGCCATATGTTTTTGAAATACAAATGTATTATCCATGCCAACCTCTTTTTGTAGAGGTGGCACATATTTGTCAACTAAGCTCCCCTTTGAAATAATTCTTTCTGAAGTATTGACATATCAGTGTGAGCATACACAGAGACAGAACTATCCATGCGTTCTTAAAACTCTACTGAAGTCTGAAAGGGTTAATTTTACCAGTATACATTTTATGTTAAGATAAGACATGAACTCGCCATCTTAGTATATGTAATTTATTTTCTTATTCTGATTAAATATTTGAATATTAATACCACATAATGTTTTAGCCATAAATGACAGTGTAAAACAACGAGCATGAGACATCACTACACAATATAGTATGACATACCATTATCAAGGAAGTTGTTTTATCAATATTTCACCTCAAAAAACAATATAGTATTAGTTGTGACTTAGACATTTTTAATTTTTTATAAATGCTTGCAAATTTAAAGTTTCCATTAGCATTTGATATCCTCCCTGAAGGAGGTCATTTAGGACTGAAACATATCAGGGTACTTATAGTATTTAGTGAGCATAAGGAATAAATTAAATGTACTTAGATGGTGATTTCACATTTTGTTTTCTCTGAATCTTGTTGTAATGGCATATCACTGTATATTTTTCTTAGTAATTTACAAAAATGTGTAGGTGTTTTAAGAGATGTTATTGTTTTTCTAACAGGCTTATGATGCATACATTGATGAAATTAAGAAAGAGCTTGAAGACAAAATAGAGTATTCAGCTGATATATCTCTCCCTACTGAGAAATTGGACATTCATGGCTGTAATGAACATGATTCAGGTTCAGTTGGTGATTCAACTGTTCTATCATCAAGGAAGAAATTTTTCAACCAAAAACAGGACAAACATGAAGAAAACTCAGGCAATTCTGAGCTGAACTCAGGAAGTGGTTCTCTGCCCCTATCCACCAGTGCATTGAAGAATCAAGGACATAAAATCTTAAGTGATGATACAAATGCAAGCTTACAGCTCAAAGAAACTTCACAAGTGTTAACAGATGAGAGTCAAATTGAAAATTCAAAGGCAGGAACTGTTTCATGTAGTTCTATAAGTAGTTTGGTGAAAGAGAGTTCCCTGGAAGATGAGAAAGGGCTGGAAGAAATATCAGAAGAATTAGAACAATCTGAAATAGTGTCTGTGTTAGAAGAAGACATCCAAGAGGAGGAGGAGAGATATTCAGAATTAAATTCCATAGTTCACAACCAGAATTCAGGAACAACCATTAATGAATTACTTTATGAGAAGCCTGAAGCAGAAGCTGTTATCCAGGAACTCATAGTTTCAAAACAACAGTTATCAGTTCAGGAAATTGAATCTGCAGAGGAAGTGGAATCAATTCCAGAAGAAGTAACTGAGCATATAACAGAAGTAGAGGAGCATAGAGACCAAAGTGAAACTTTTAAGCAGGACTTGCAGGATGCTAGGCACCAGTCAGATTCCCTCCTTGACCACAGTGAAGAAGGAGCTTTTATTTCTAATGTTGTTGGCTCACTGAAAAACTCTGTGGAGTCTGGTACCTACAGTGTACTTCAATGTGAAGAAAGTGGTGATGTTAAAAAAGATATTCTGCAAGTAGAAGAAGAAATAGAAAACATTCCTGAAACAGATGGAGGAATTTCACATTCTGAAGAAAACATTCTGAAAGTAGAGGAATCTGATAGCCTAAATGTTGTTTCAGCATTTGCTGAAATTTTGTTTCAGAAAGGGTTTCCGGAGACTGAAAGTAACTGTGATGACAATAAAGTGAAAGAAAAAGCTGATGAAAAAATGTCTGAAAAGGTAGAAAAAATTACTGCTGCAATTTTTCAGAAACTTATAGATGAGTCTTTGAAGACTCTTTGTAAAAAGAATACAAAGTATAATAACTATATCTTGGAACAGTTTCACAGAAATGAAGGTCAGAGTCTGAGGATAGAAGAAATGGGAAAAGATGCAGGTTTGATCGATCAGACTGCGATTAAGAATTGTGAGAATTATAAATTTATGACTACAGGCAAGTTAAATAAACAAAATGAAGATAAGAATGTCGACAGAGTTGACAATATTACCAATGCAATCCTTGAACAACTTCTCATAGAATCTTCAGCCTTTATTTATTCTAAAACATCTAAAATAGATGGTCGTGGAAACATACATGAAGACTCAGCAAGTGCATGTGAAGAAGAGGCAAGCATTAGAGATGATGCAATTGCAGGTAATTGAGTGTGAATCACATTAAGTTGTTTTATCACATAGTGCTCCATGTAAATTATTCAGATTGATTTATGCAACAGACAGGAAGGCTTTTGCATGTAATCATGACTAAATTAACCTCTGTCTTCTGGGAATAGATATTTTAAATCTCCCAGTACTATGGGCTGGCATCCAGGTTTTTATTTGAAACATTAGTATTAGTACTGTAAGATTGCCAACTGGACTGCACACAAGCACCATTACAATAGTGTGATACTTCTTGGCCACCTTCTGCTCATTCATAAGCTATTATCTCACAGCTGTCTAGTGAGTCAGTCCTTTGTATCTAACTGCTTGCAAGCATTTTTAAAATAATTTTGTTTCATTGACAGTGATGCAATTATGCAGTGTGTCATTAGTCACCCACATAAATGGTAAGTGCTAGCAGGTCTGAAAGTTTGTTGTGTCACCAAAGCATATAAATAGTGCAGTGAGATAATGGCTTTAGAATGCCAGCATGTGTTACATCAGGCATGAGGGGTACTTGTATGTCACTAAGGGTTAAATATTCTCTTCAGAAATCTCTCAGTTGCCTAGCACAGGTGACCATGGGTTCAAGAGTGCCAATATGAACTGCCACAGAACTCCTGAAATGTGTGCCATTGTGACAGTGGTACCATGCAAATCATATGCATGTGTATTTTGCATGAATGTGTGGGAGAGAAATTATTATGATAAGACTGGTTTGTGGCCAGTATCCTTCCCTGACCTCAGTCTGTGTGACTTTTTGTCTAGGGAACTATAAAACAAAAGGTTTACAGATCAAAGCCCCACAGTTGACAAAGTGAATTAAAATATACAAGCGAAAGTTTACTGTATTTATCAAGATAAGCTACATCATGTGAATATAAAGTATTTATTGAGTCACCAGGAATGTGTGCAGATCTTCTGCTGTAATCTAGGAAAGCTTTAAAAATGTGGTATGGGATGTGACACCATATAGTTAGGTAGGTAGACACCAACCTTCAAAGCAACCTGATGCTTCCATCTTCAGCATAAAAGATTGAACTGCTCTTCTGACTTGGAAATGGAGACAGCAGGTCCCTCAAAATGACTGATACCTACCTACCAACCTACATGGTGTCACTACTGTTTCTGGGGGCCAAACGTAATGGGGGGAGCATCTGACCCTTCTGCCTGAGACATTCCATAATCTGCAGGGTACTTGAAAAAATGTCACTGCATTTTAGTCATAAGTTGTTCTAATCTGAACTTTCAGTATCTGCTGAAACAGATTTATCCAGTATCATAGTTATTAACAGATTAAAATATTTTTTAATATCAAATTAAATATAAAAACTCAAAAGCATAGGATGATCTATAATTTGCCTTTTTTATTTTATAGTTGTAATTATTGGTATCTGGAGATTCTAAAGGGTTCTCATAATGGTATATATTGATTACTGATGTTTGTTAAGGAACTCTGTCCTTTACACTAGGACCTCGAGACAGAAGTGGCATAAACATTAGGAAACGGGTCAATGAAATACTCGCAGAAACATCAGGCTGTCTGTCAACCCCGAAGGAGAAAACAAGGCCTCAGGATTTCATGATTACCACCTATGATGTCTTGTCACCAGAGGAAACACCCCTGCCAGGTAAACATACCATGTGTTCAATATACTGTTGAAATTTCATGAAATAGACAACCTTTCGAAGATACTATCTTCTGGGATATTATGCCATGTAGTCCATTGAAAGTGAACTGACATTTTGGAGGAACATATCACTCTTGCTCAGCTTATTCTTTGTTGCTGAAGATATAGGCAATACATTTGTAACCCTCTGTGGATTCAGATGTTGGCCTAAAGCATATGTGTCTGGTAACACACTAAACAGAACACACACAACAAAGAAATTGCTATCATATTTTAGACTTGAATTAGCTTTTGCAGTTTAAGAATGTGTATCACATTTCTTAATATCTGTAGTTATGTAACATTTTTGTTCCATAATAATGTGCATTACTGCTGCAGGACAGAATAGCAGGCCAAGAAAAGTCCATTGCTAGGCAATGGCACTTTGTAGTGGCATCTAACAATGAAACTCAAGACTGTGGACTGGGAACCACTGACTCTGACCTCCAATTTCCGACTCACAACTTCTGACCCATGACTAACTTTTCTTTTTCATCCTCACTATATGGTCTTGGCATGGACTGAAGAAAACACCACTTCCAAGAATTCTTCCATTGTTGAGTGATGTGTTAAGAGGGCTATTGCCTAATGATGGCCCAGGTATTATTGATGCAGGAGCTTGTTTTGTTTGCTGTGTTTACCAGCCATTGCCTAGCAATGGATGACTTTAGGCCACTCCATAGCTGAAGTGGTTAGTCACTGGCTTCCAAACGCAGCGGTCCGGGTTCAAACCCGGGTCTGGTCAAGTGGCATTTGTGGTGAACAAAGTGGTGCTGGGGTGGGTTTTCTCCGAGTACTTCAGTTTCCCCTGCCAATCTTCATTCCACCAAATTCTCCATCATAATCACCCAGGGCAGGCTACAATAGGCCAATCAGTGGCCGCCGTGCCGAATGGACCCAGTTGGACTCCACCCCCCACTAAGCAAATTTAAAAAAAAATGGATGACTTTTCTGGGCCCACTATTCTAGCTTTCAGCTGTCATATCACATGTTCTAAATGAAGTTAGAATAGTCCATTTGGGATTGAATGCATAATTGCAGTTTGATTCTAAAATTGGTCTAAAATCAGAATTATTAGTGGTCTTTCCACAGCGGGAACACACGTAGGGAAGTCATGTGTATGATGTTCTGTTTCAAAACCTTGTGGATATATTTTGGTGAAATTTGTATTCAGAATCTATTAATATTAAGAGTTGAGAGACAAGTTTTAATTTGTTTTCCATGAGTCCAGTACTCGTATAACTGTTCATGTGAAGTTCAAATTGATTGTACCAATTTTTGTATGACAAGACATTCCATATAAAGTGCTGAGGAAGTCTGATTTGAGCTTGGTGTAAGGATATTGAACTGATTTGAATCAAAATTAATTTGCCAAGAAAATTTTACCATACTTAATTGAAATGCATTGAGTAGTTTTCCAAATAAAGTACTGTCAGGATTGCTAGTTTGGTCTCTGTGCACATGACAGAACTGACACTCCTACTTGAATGAACCCTACAGTAATACAATTTACTAATGCATGTTTCCAATTATTTAGGATGCATAATATCTTAACTGTGTCCCTTAGAAAGAGCTAACCTCAATCACTGGACCTAGAATCTACTTAAATAAATTCATGTTAGCTAAAATGTTAGGAAATTTACAAGTCAAGAATTCTTGTGTCATGTGCCAAGCCATAGGTAAGAGTTATATGCTTAATAAACAGCTGCCATGCCATCTGAGTGATTTATAGCTTAGTGATTTCTGCAGAAGCAAAACCTCTCAGTACCTTGGTTTCCCCAAAAGTTGTTCCTGTAATCAGGGTTGGTTGTGAGGCTCTACACCAAGCACACAAGACTTTAATCTATAAGTTAATCATGATATAGCCTGCAGTTGGCTGAGCAGTGAATAATAGTTCAGAACCTCCTAACAGCTTCTTGATATGTCAGTCCACAACACACCTTTGAGCTTCTTCCTTGGGGACAAAACAATAAGACATTCACCTTCTTTTGCTGATTCCTCCTGAAATGGTACTTTTATGGGTTCACCTGCTGGGGGCCTGTTTTTGAGTATGGAGTGGTACCTCTCAGCATAAATACTTTTTCTTACAATAGCTCATAGAATTTGATGTATGTGGAATAAGTTTGACTTCAAAAGTCCACTTTGCAATGGCATGGTAGTGGGAACAGAAGTTGTATATCTGTAATTCAGATTGGAGATGATTTGATGACAGTATTAAAGCAGTGCTATTCCTCATTAAGAACACTCTGTCACATATATTATATTTAAGCATCCTGTTGCACTATACACTTCTATAGGTAATAATACAAATGCTGTCATGAATGCAACAATTTATTTGGTTGTAGATCTTTGTCTTTTCTTCCTCTGTACTACATGTTTCGACCATAATTGGCCATCATCAGGAGTATTTTTCACTACGTAGCTGTCACACTGCACACAGTCCAAAATCTAAAACATCAGTCTGTCAGTTTTGTTTTAAAATCTCACCAACACACACTTGTCAATTTGATTTTACAATTACAGTTTAAATTTAAAATTCAAAATTTAAAGTTTTAAATACCAGAGAAACCTGCTCTTGTCTACATGTGCTGCAGCGGTTATTTCTTGTTTTCAACACCGTTCGTGTATTATTCTGTCCAGGCTCCCTGAAAAAGTATTAAAGATGAGCAGCAACACACACACAGGGAGCCTGCACAGAATAATACATGAACGGTGCTGAAAACAAGAAATAGCCGATGTTCTTTTGTTATAATTAAGGTAATAAATAGGGACCTGAAGCCTTAGAAACCAAATGTTTACATGAATGGGCAATTATTTTGTTTTCTTGAGGAGTGGCAGAGCATCTTAACTCAGTGAGAGGGATGGATGAAAATGACATCAATTTATTTACATTTTCTGCTGCACAGTATTTTCCCAACATCTTTGTAAGTTTTGAGCATTGGACTTTGAATCACTCTGTATGTACAGGTTCTTGCATTTATGTGTCAGACTCGCTGTTTTCTTACTGTTGTGAATTTTTCTAAATATTATCTACAATCTGAAAACCACAGTCTATAAAAATAAATCCTGCTTATTAATTTACGCACAAATAATATATCTTTTATCTGTCTCTATCCTTCATCACAGATTTCATCTCTCTGTCATTTTTCAGAATGAGAGTTTACACATCTGGAGATAAAATTATTATATAATCCCATTTTTGAGGTAATCATCGGCAATTTAGACTTATCATACTGCATGCGACTGTAATGTTACTAACAGTAATTTATCCCCTCTCTAAGTAGTAACTTTTGTCATCCAAGAATAGGAAATTAAATCTGCTCCTACAGCACTGGCAGCCAGATTTTAAGTTGGAGGTATTGGGATTCATAGAAAACAGTATGACACTAGGCCTGCTGGATATTGCGTGTACTGTCTCAGTAGTGCAATGCATGGACAGTGAAGGGTAATGACCATTAGAGCCACAACAATGCCCAAACATGCCAGGTGTGTTGTGTTCCTGTTCCAGATTTCTTATGGGGTTGCCAACTAACTAAATTGAAATCTTCATCAGATGCAGACCCTAGACACTTTCCCTGGGAGTAAGGTGGCCAGAACTTGAAGCTTACTGCTCACCTCTATTTGGGGCTTATCTCTATGTATCTCCCAAAACAAATTTTCAGGGCTCAGTACTTTGACTAACTTTCTAAGTTTATACAGCAGAAGCCGATAGTACCTCAGCTGGTTAATGAATTCTGCGCCTTTTATTGAGCCTGAAGTTTCATTACATTAACCCTATTCTGAGCCAAATGAATCCAGTCCACACCCTCACATCTTGTTTCTTTAAGATCCATTTTAATATAATCCACCCAGCTATATGTAGATCTTTTTATATGATCTCTTTCCTACACTGACAGAAACTATGTATGAATGAATTTCTCTCTTCCTGTTTATGTGCAACTTGCCATGCTCATCTCATTCTTTTTTATTTCATCATCCTAATAATATTTTCTGTCAGGAGCAAATTATGAAACTCCTCATTGTGTATTTTTCCCACATATTCGTTGTGTTTCTTCATTTCACTTAATTCCAAATGTTTTCTTCAGGCCTTTGTTCTCAGATGCCTTCAATATGTGTTCTTCCTTCAGGATAAGTGATGTGATGCCTTGTTAGATTCATCATTCCTTAACTAGCAGAAGAACAGGATAACCTAAAATGAGATAGCCTTAGGATGTTGGAAGTTTTATCACTGTTTTGTAAGCAGACATTTTTTTATATATGGTAGCTCAGAATCGAGTTTTAATGATGAAAACTGTATATGAAGTAGTTGGGTCAATCAAAACTTAAAAGGACTCATTGCTGAAACAACAATTTTTTTTGTCATCTCTAAGTAAACTATCCTCACATAGGTTATCTTTCCTTCAGTTTCTTTGGTTAATACATACAGAGACAACTTAGGAAGTAAATTATTATGGGCAGACTTTTTTGAACATTGGAAGTGTATTGAGATAATAATACAAATTAAACCCCAGGGAGAATGTAGATTAAGGATGTTTTGGGACAGAGAGCTAAGGACAATACTTGGAAGTGAGTAGAAGGAACAGAAGGATGGAGAAAACTGAATAATGAGGAGCTTCATGATCTGTACTCTTCACCAAATATTGTTAGTCTTCAAATTCAGGAAGATAAGATGGGTGGAGAATGTAGCTAAGAAATGTGCTCAAAATTTTAGTCACGGAACGTGAAGGGAAGAGACCACTTGGGGACCTAGGTATAGATGAGATATTGAAATGGATCTTAAAGAAGTAGAAAATGTCGTTATGGGCTGGGCTTGTCTTGTTCAAGATATAGCTTAGTGGCAAGGTTGTTGTAAACATGGTAATGAACTTTCAGGTTCCTTGACTGGAGAAAGAGGGTGTCTCAAGACGGAGCTTGCTCCATATAGTCATTTAATTAAATATTGTGAAATAAATTAAATCAAGAAGATGGTCAGGATTATCCTTTACTGCAGTTT